GTGCAGGAGAAGTGGAAGGTGCTAGGTGGGCAGGGGAAGTCCTAGGTGCTAGGTGGGCAAGGGAAGTCCTAGGTGCTAGGTGGGCAGGGGAAGTGGAAGGTTCTAGGGAGAGCCGGGGAGGAGAGAGAACCAGGGGACAGGAGAGACAACCAGGGGAGAGGAGAGCCAGGGGAGAGGAGAGAGAGCCAGGGGAGAGGAGAGAGAGCCAGGGGAGAGGAGAGAGAGCCAGGGGAGAGGAGAGAGAGCCAGGGGAGAGGAGAGAGAGCCAGGGGAGAGGAGAGAGAGCCAGGGGACAGGAGAGAGAGCCAGGGGACAGGAGAGAGAGCCAGTGGACAGGAGAGAGAGCCAGGGGACATGATAGAGAGCCAGGGGACATGATAGAGAGCCAGGCGACATGATAGAGAGCCAGGGGACAGGATAGAGAGCCAGGGGACAGGATAGAGAGCCAGGGGACAGGATAGAGAGCCAGGGGACAGGATAGAGAGCCAGGGGACAAGATAGAGAGCCAGGGGACATGATAGAGAGCCAGGGGACATGATAGAGAGCCAGGGGACAGGAGAGAGAGCCAGGGGACAGGAGAGAGAGCCAGGGGACAGGAGAGAGAGCCAGGGGACAGGAGAGAGAGCCAGGGGACAGGAGAGAGAGCCAGGGGACAGGAGAGAGAGCCAGGGGACAGGAGAGAGAGCCAGGGGACAGGAGAGAGAGCCAGGGGACAGGAGAGAGAGCCAGGGGACAGGATAGAGAGCCAGGGGACAGGATAGAGAGCCAGGGGACGGGATAGAGAGCCAGGGGACAGGATAGAGCCAGGGGACAGGATAGAGAGCCAGGGGACAGGAGAGAGAGCCAGGGGACAGGAGAGAGAGCCAGGGGACAGGATAGAGAGCCAGGGGACAGGAGAGAGAGCCAGGGGACAGGATAGAAGCCAGGGGACATGATAGAGAGCCAGGGGACAGGAGAGAGAGCCAGGGGACAGGAGAGAGAGCCAGGGGACAGGAGAGAGAGCCAGGGGACAGGAGAGAGAGCCAGGGGACAGGAGAGAGAGCAGGGGACAGGAGAGAGAGCCAGGGGACAGGAGAGAGAGCCAGGGGACAGGAGAGAGAGCCAGGGGACAGGATAGAGAGCCAGGGGACAGGATAGAGAGCCAGGGGACAGGAGAGAGAGCCAGGGGACAGGATAGAGAGCCAGGGGACAGGATAGAGAGCCAGGGGACAGGAGAGAGAGCCAGGGGACAGGATAGAGAGCCAGGGGACAGGAGAGAGAGCCAGGGGACAGGATAGAAGCCAGGGGACATGATAGAGAGCCAGGGGACAGGATAGAGAGCCAGGGGACAGGATAGAGAGCCAGGGGACAGGATAGAGAGCCAGGGGACAGGAGAGAGAGCCAGGGGACAGGATAGAGAGCCAGGGGACAGGATAGAGAGCCAGGAGACAGGATAGAGAGCCAGGGGACAGGATAGAGAGCCAGGGGACAGGATAGAGAGCCAGGGGACAGGAGAGAGAGCCAGGGGACAGGAGAGAGAGCCAGGGGACAGGATAGAGAGCCAGGGGACAGGATAGAGAGCCAGGGGACAGGATAGAGAGCCAGGGGACAGGATAGAGAGCCAGGGGACAGGATAGAGAGCCAGGGGACAGGATAGAGAGCCAGGGGACAGGATAGAGAGCCAGGGGACAGGATAGAGAGCCAGGGGACAGGATAGAGAGCCAGGGGACAGGAGAGAGCCAGGGGACAGGAGAGGGAGCCAGGGGACAGGATAGAGAGCCAGGGGACAGGAGAGAGAGCCAGGGGACATGAGAGAGAGCCAGGGGACATGAGAGAGAGCCAGGGGACATGAGAGAGAGCCAGGGGACAGGAGAGAGAGCCAGGGGACAGGAGAGAGAGCCAGGGGACAGGAGAGAGAGCCAGGGGACAGGAGAGAGAGCCAGGGGACAGGATAGAGAGCCAGGGGACAGGATAGAGAGCCAGTGGACAGGATAGAGAGCCAGGGGACAGGATAGAGAGCCAGGGGACAGGATAGAGAGCCAGGGGACAGGATAGAGAGCCAGGGGACAGGAGAGAGAGCCAGGGGACAGGAGAGAGAGCCAGGGGACAGGAGAGAGAGCCAGGGGACAGGAGAGAGAGCCACGGGACAGAAGCAGAATGTAAACAGCGTGATGGTAAGGCACGACAGGGGTGCAAGATTCCTCTGTCAGAAGGATGTCGCCAGGGGAGGTACACACACTATCTTGACGTTTCCTCCACCCTGGAGGTGGTGGGGAGAGGAGGTGGGGAGGAAGTGTGGGAGATAGAGAATCTGGGAGAGAATTCTCTCGTTTCAACAGCGCTTTTAAAAAAACGTTTCCCCCCATTCCATGAAACATTTCTTTATGCAATGCTGGGAAGACTGTACCTCAGTCATCCCAGAATTACTTAACAGCAGTCCACTGTACCTCAGTCATCCCAGAATTACTTAATAGCAGTCCACTGTACCTCAGTCATCCCAGAATTACTTAACAGCAGTCCACTGTACCTCAGTCATCCCAGAATTACTTAACAGCAGTCCACTGTACCTCAGTCATCCCAGAATTACTTAACAGCAGTCCACTGTACCTCAGTCATCCCAGAATTACTTAACAGCAGTCCACTGTACCTCAGTCATCACAGAATTACTTAACAGCAGTCCACTGTACCTCAGTCATCCCAGAATTACTTAACAGCAGTCCACTGTACCTCAGTTATCACAGAATTACTTAACAGCAGTCCACTGTACCTCAGTCATCCCAGAATTACTTAACAGCAGTCCACTGTACCTCAGTCATCCCAGAATTACTTAACAGCAGTCCACTGTACCTCAGTCATCCCAGAATTACTTAACAGCAGTCCACTGTACCTCAGTCATCCCAGAATTACTTAACAGCAGTCCATTGTACCTCAGTCATCCCAGAATTACTTAACAGCAGTCCACTGTACCTCAGTCATCACATAATTACTTAACAGCAGTCCACTGTACCTCAGTCATCCCAGAATTACTTAACAGCAGTCCACTGTACCTCAGTCATCACAGAATTACTTAACAGCAGTCCACTGTACCTCAGTCATCCCAGAATTACTTAACAGCAGTCCACTGTACCTCAGTCATCCCAGAATTACTTAACAGCAGTCCACTGTACCTCAGTCATCCCAAAATTACTTAACAGCAGTCCACTGTACCTCAGTCATCCCAGAATTACTTAACAGCAGTCCACTGTACCTCAGTCATTCCAGAATTACTTAACAGCAGTCCACTGTACTTCAGTCATCACAGAATTACTTAACAGCAGTCCACTGTACCTCAGTCATCACAGAATTACTTAACAGCAGTCCACTGTACCTCAGTTATCACAGAATTACTTAACAGCAGTCCACTGTACCTCAGTCATCACAGAATTACTTAACAGCAGTCCACTGTACCTCAGTCATCACAGAATTACTAACAGCAGTCCACTGTACCTCAGTTATCACAGAATTACTTAACAGCAGTCCACTGTACCTCAGTCATCACAGAATTACTTAACAGCAGTCCACTGTACCTCAGTCATCACAGAATTACTTAACAGCAGTCCACTGTACCTCAGTCATCCCAGAATTACTTAACAGCAGTCCACTGTACCTCAGTCATCCCAGAATTACTTAACAGCAGTCCACTGTACCTCAGTCATTCCAGAATTACTTAACAGCAGTCCACTGTACTTCAGTCATCACAGAATTACTTAACAGCAGTCCACTGTACCTCAGTCATCACAGAATTACTTAACAGCAGTCCACTGTACCTCAGTTATCACAGAATTACTTAACAGCAGTCCACTGTACCTCAGTCATCACAGAATTACTTAACAGCAGTCCACTGTACCTCAGTCATCACAGAATTACTTAACAGCAGTCCACTGTACCTCAGTTATCACAGAATTACTTAACAGCAGTCCACTGTACCTCAGTCATCACAGAATTACTTAACAGCAGTCCACTGTACCTCAGTCATCACAGAATTACTTAACAGCAGTCCACTGTACCTCAGTCATCCCAGAATTACTTAACAGCAGTCCACTGTACCTCAGTCATCCCAGAATTACTTAACAGCAGTCCACTGTACCTCAGTCATCCCAGATTTACTTAACAGCAGTCCACTGTACCTTAGTTATCACAGAATTACTTAACAGCAGTCCACTGTAACTCAGTTATCACAGAATTACTTAATAGCAGTCCACTGTAACTCAGTTATCACAGAATTACTTAATAGCAGTCCACTGTACCTCAGTTATCACAGAATTACTTAATAGCAGTCCACTGTACCTCAGTTATCACAGAATTACTTAATAGCAGTCCACTGTACCTCAGTTATCCCAGAATTACTTAACAGCAGTCCACTGTACCTAAGTCATCACAGAATTACTTAACAGCGGTCCACTGTACCTCAGTCATCCCAGAATTACTTAACAGCAGTCCATTGTACCTCAGTCATCCCAGAATTACTTAACAGCAGTCCACTGTACCTCAGTCATCACAGAATTACTTAACAGCAGTCCACTGTATCTCAGTCATCCCAGAATTACTTAACAGCAGTCCACTGTACCTCAGTCATCCCAGAATTACTTAACAGCAGTCCACTGTACCTCAGTCATCCCAGAATTACTTAACAGCAGTCCACTGTACCTCAGTCATCCCAGAATTACTTAACAGCAGTCCACTGTACCTCAGTTATCCCAGAATTACTTAACAGCAGTCCACTGTACCTCAGTTATCCGTGTTTAGCTTCACTCAGTGAAGCCGATGTTTTTATGCTGTGTGTTCTATATAGTGGCGAAACATCATCTGTGTTTAGCTTCACTCAGTGAAGCTGATGTTTTTATGCTGTGTGTTCTATATAGTGGCGAAACATCATCTTTGTTTAGCTTCACTCAGTGAAGCTGATGTTTTTATGCTGTGTGTTCTATATAGTGGCGAAACATCATCTGTGTTTAGCTTCACTCAGTGAAGCTGATGTTTTTATTCTCTCTTAAATGCATCGCTGGAAATAATGAATTTCAATATAATTTTTATTTGTTGTATTTTACTATTACGGGTCGTAACAGTAGTGGAGAGTGGTAAGAGAGGTCGTCAAGGACGGTCTCGTGGCCAAGGACCTCGTGGTGTCCTTGTTGGAGGCAAGGACCAGAGCCCAAGAGCTCAAATTGACCTCCAACACCAGTACCTGGATGGTCTCCAGGCAGTCGTCCTGAAGCGTCAGGACGAGGGTCCTGACGTAGAAGCAACTCGTGAAGACAGTGCTGACGGAGGTCGTCTTCTTGGAGAGCTAGGTGCTCAGGGAGGTCACCTTCGACAGCACGGTGTTCAGGGAGGTCTTGGAGAGCTAGGTGCTGAGGGAGGTCACCTTCGACAGCACGGTGTTCAGGGAGGTCTCCTTCGACAGCACGGTGCTCAGGGAGGTCACCTTCGACAGCACGGTGTTCAGGGAGGTCTTGGAGAGCTAGGTGCTCAGGGAGGTCACCTTCGACAGCACGGTGCTCAGGGAGGTCACCTTCGACAGCACGGTGTTCAGGGAGGTCTTGGAGAGCTAGGTGCTCAGGGAGATCACCTTCGACAGCACGGTGTTCAGGGAGGTCTTGGAAAGCTAGGTGCTGAGGGAGGTCACCTTCGACAGCACGGTGTTCAGGGAGGTCTTGGAGAGCTAGGTGATCAGGGAGGTCACCTTCGACAGCACGGTGTTCAGGGAGGTCTTGGAGAGCTAGGTGCTGAGGGAGGTCACCTTCGACAGCACGGTGTTCAGGGAGGTCTTGGAGAGCTAGGTGCTGAGGGAGGTCACCTTCGACAGTACGGTGTTCAGGGAGGTCACCTTCGACAGCACGGTGTTCAGGGAGGTCACCTTCGACAGCACGGTGTTCAGGGAGGTCACCTTCGACAGCACGGTGTTCAGGGAGGTCACCTTCGACAGCACGGTGTTCAGGGAGGTCACCTTCGACAGCACGGTGTTCAGGGAGGTCACCTTCGACAGCACGATGATAAGGACCTCGCTCATCCTCGACAAGACAGTGTTGAGCTCAGTCATGGCGCTCTCAAGGATCAGCTGCAGAATTTGCAGGTCCTTCTTGAAGAGTCCAGGCGACAGGAACATCACTCCAGGGAAGTCTACAAGGAGATGGAGTATCTCCATCAGGAGTGCTCTCTTGTTATACCCGAGGTCGGTGTGCTCTTTCAAAAGGAACACAGTAAAACTGAGGAGCTGAGAGATCTTGCTGATGCTAAAGCTCTTGAGCTGGAAGCTTTACAAAACACCCATAGGAGCCTCAAGCGCGAGCATGGCAAAGCCAATGCTAAAGTGAAGGAATGGGACCAGAAAACGTATGATCAAGTCCAGGCTCGTAACCAGGTTGTACACAAACACAATATTTTGCAGGAAGAGCTTGAACGACAGGTCAAAGCTCATAAAGATCTTGTCAAGTCGTTCAGAAAGGTAAGCAAAGAGAGGAAGGCACTTAGAAAGCACTACGGAAAAAAACTCCGTCGGAACAACAACAGGGTAGAACAGGGTAACAAACACCGGAGTTTGAATGGCGAAATGTTGGAACAAGTTAAAGATTTGGAAAATAAATTGGGCGAGAAGCACAGTCAGTATGAGACGCTCCGAGGTGCTCATAACGAACTTAAAAATGAACTTGAAAACCTTCGACGTATCGTAAAAGAAGGCAAGAAGGAAGGGTTTAAACTGGCCGAGTCTCGCCGCCAAGCTCTTCACCGATATAACTCACTTGCCAAGGAACACAAGAAGGAACGCAAAGTCTACGACAAGGCTTCCAGAAAATACGAATCACTTCGTCATGATAATTATATAAGGGAGGTTAGCCTGGACAACCTACAGGCGATGTTAGATGAGAAAGTTCGCGAGGTGGAGGAGCATCTACAGCGGCTTCAGAACCTGGAAGAAAGGTACAATGAAAAGAACGAATTACTCGATGACCATCGCGTGCGAGAACACAAATGGCTTCAGGGATCCGCGAAGTTCAAGCAAGAAGCCATTGATTTGAACAGCCAATTGAAGCGTTACCAGTCGCTGACTGAGGAGAGAGAAAGAGAACTTGACAGACTACATACAACACTTACTCAGAAAGATGAGGAAATTGAGTTCCTTACCAGAAAGGTGGAAGCTACGAGGCTGTCAGTAGCTGACACTCGGCAAGAACATAGCGAGTGTCAGCAGCAGTATGAACATATAAACTTGAAGTATCGTCGCGCACTTAATCGGAATGATTATCTTAAGTCTTCACCTCACTGATCGGTTGTTCCAGAGTGTGTGGACTGCTGTTCCAGAGTGTGTGGACTGCTGTTCCAGAGTGTGTGGACTGCTGTTCCAGAGTATGTGGATCGCTGTTCCAGAGTGTGTGTGGACCGCTGTTCCAGAGTGTGTGGACCGCTGTTCCAGAGTGTGTGTGGACTGCTGTTCCAGAGTGTGTGGACTGCTGTTCCAGAGTATGTGGATCGCTGTTCCAGAGTGTGTGGACTGCTGTTCCAGAGTATGTGGATCGCTGTTCCAGAGTGTGTGTGGACCGCTGTTCCAGAGTGTGTGGACCGCTGTTCCAGAGTGTGTGGACCGCTGTTCCAGAGTGTGTGGACCGCTGTTCCAGAGTGTGTGGACCGCTGTTCCAGAGTGTGTGGACCGCTGTTCCAGAGTGTGTGTGGACCGCTGTTCCAGAGTATGTGGATCGCTGTTCCAGAGTATGTGGATCGCTGTTCCAGAGTGGGGGGGGGGGTGTGTGGACCGCTGTTCCAGAGTGTGTGGACCGCTGTTCCAGAGTGTGTGGACCGCTGTTCCAGAGTGTGTGGACCGCTGTTCCAGAGTGTGTGGACCGCTGTTCCAGAGTGTGTGTGGACCGCTGTTCCAGAGTGTGTGGACCGCTGTTCCAGAGTGTGTGGACCGCTGTTCCAGAGTGTGTGGACCGCTGTTCCAGTGTGTGTGGACCGCTGTTCCAGAGTGTGGACCGCTGTTCCAGAGTGTGTGTGGACCGTTGTTCCAGAGTGTGTGGAACAACGGTCCACACATTCACGACGGAGGGTCGAGTCTTAACCCTTGTGCTGACCTACGGGTTTACCGCTTTGGATAAGTAACGTTTTTTTTTTTTTATTTAGTAAAGTAAGCGGACTGAACCCAGGGACTGATTATATCCTTGATGATAGCCTTATTACAACGCTGAAGTCTGTCAGCTCAGACTGGCACTGCTGAAGTCTGTCAGGTCAGACTGACACTGCTGAAGTCTGCCAGCTCAGACTGACACTGCTGAAGTCTGTCAGGTCAGACTGACACTGCTGAAGTCTGTCAGCTCAGACTGGCACTGCTGAAGTCTGTCAGGTCAGACTGGCACTGCTGAAGTCTGTCAGCTCAGACTGGCACTGCTGAAGTCTGTCAGGTCAGACTGGACAGCTGAAGTCTGTCAGCTCAGACTGACACTGCTGAAGTCTGTCAGGCCCAGACTGGCACTTCTGAAGTCTGTCAGTTTCAGACTGGCACTGCTGAAGTCTGTCAGCTCAGACTGGCACTGCTGAAGTCTGTCAGCTCAGACTGACACTGCTGAAGTCTGTCCACTCAGACTGGCACTGCTGAAGTCTGTCAGCTCAGACTGGCACTGCTGAAGTCTGTCAGCTCAGACTGGCACTGCTGAAGTCTGTCAGGTCAGACTGACACTGCTGAAGTCTGTCAGCTTAGTCTGAGCTGGCAGACTTCAGCGTTGTAATAAGGCTATCATCCACTATGGTCCAGTAACTACGACAACTTCAAAGGTCACCCTCCAGGACTCATCCATGCTCGACTTATCTTAACGTTACCACTGCTTTAATGTACAATAACTCTCGCTCTTACAATAGAATTAGATCATAGAAACACTTTGATTCATCTAAGACCCTTAGATTATAGAAACACTTTGATTCATCTAAGACCTTAGATAATAGAAACACTTTGATTCATCTAAGACCCTTAGAAAATTTTCCCTTAGATTATAGAAACACTTTGATTCATCTAAGACCTTGGAACACTTTGATTATCTAAGGACCTTTGATTTATGAGAAAGTGATATTCGATTGTATTGAACCTTGATTTCTCTGTTGATGGTCCTGGAACCACTTTATTGGTCAAACCTGTAGATTGCCCGTTGGTTTTCCCAAACCAGTTGACCTTGTTCATGGTAGACCTTGGTTTATGCTTGTGATTCCTAGGCCCTAGGGTTTGTTTTTCAAACCTTGATTATTTGAACCTTTTTTTCTAGACCTGGACCACTTGTTTTATCAAACCAGTTGCCTTGTACTGATTGTTTGATTTTCCCAAAACCAGATTGAAAATTTTTCATCAAACCAGTGTTGCTCTGCCTTGTTGTTTGTTCACTGGACCAGATATGCCCTTGATTCCAAAACCAGTTTGTTATCTGCCCTTGTTGAATTGTTCCTAAGACCCAGGCCTTGCTTGGTTTGTTCTGAGATGTTTGTGTTTGGACTGGTGCTGTTGGTGGTCCTGGACCAGGCTTGTCTGGTCAACCTGGTTGTTGCTGTTGGTGGTCCTGGACCAGGCTTGTCTGGTCAACCTGGTTGTTGCTGTTGGTGGTCCTGGGCCAGGCTTGTCTGGTCAACCTGGTTGTTGCTGTTGGTGGTCCTGGACCAGGCTTGTCTGGTCAACCAGGTTGCTGCTGTTGGTGGTCCTAGGCCAGGCTTGTCTGGTCAACCAGGTTGCTGCTGTTGGTGGTCCTGGGCCAGGCTTGTCTGGTCAACCAGGTTGCTGCTGTTGGTGGTCCTAGGGGCCAGGCTTGTCTGGTCAACCAGGTTGCTGCTGTTGGTGGTCCTGGGCCAGGCTTGTCTGGTCAACCAGGTTGCTGCTGTTGGTGGTCCTGGGCCAGGCTTGTCTGGTCAACCAGGTTGCTGCTGTTGGTGGTCCTAGGCCAGGCTTGTCTGGTCAACCAGGTTGCTGCTGTTGGTGGTCCTGGGCCAGGCTTGTCTGGTCAACCAGGTTGCTGCTGTTGGTGGTCCTGGGCCAGGCTTGTCTGGTCATCCAGGTTGCTGCTGTTGGTGGTCCTTGACCAGGCTTGTCTGGTCAACCAGGTTGCTGCTGTTGGTGGTCCTGGGCCAGGCTTGTCTGGTCAACCAGGTTGCTGCTGTTGGTGGTCCTGACCAGGCTTGTCTGGTCAACAGGTTGGCGGGGGTCTGGCCAGCTTTGTTGGGTTACCCTTTTTGTTTGGCGTGCGGCTACTGATAACAGGCTGGTTGTTGTGGTCCTGGGTACCGGCCTGTATGGCCGGCCCGGTTGCGTTGATCTTGAGATTAATCCATAGCTTCTTCATCCAGGGCGCTGTTGTCCTTCCCAAACTGTTGGGCACGGTTGTGCTTTGGTGGTCCTGGGCCGGTTGCTGGCAACCGAGGGGCTGTTGTGGTCTGGACCGTCTGTATTTTCCCATTCTCATAGGTGAATTACAGTTATTTGGGTGCCGGCCTAACAATAACAGCCTGGTTGACCCGGCCTATCCACCCGAGGCCTGGCCAATGGCCCCGGGCCCCGGGCAATGTTCCTTGGAAAATTAATACATTTTCTAATCCGTAGGGGTAATCTCAAGTTTGACTGATCGTCCGTCTGCGGGAGAGGGAGTGTTGGGGCCGAATGTCTATTTAAGTATACCATTCTAAGTTGAATGATCTACATGGGGCCCTGGCCCCAGACCATGGTGACCAGGCTAGCACCAGACCATGGCCCCAGACCGGGCTCCGGTAGACTGCTTGGAATTTTCTTTTAACTTTTCTCTGGGAACCACAAAGGTTCTGGAAGCGGGCTAGAGGTGCAGGTTGGTCGAGGCCGGAAGCATGGAGAGCATCACAGTGGAGTGATCTACAGGGGAGGAGCTGGAGACAGGTAGATGGAGACAGGAGGAAGTTCTGTAGAGCTGATATTTCTGTTGTATTGTTTGGAACACAAGGAGGTTGGAGGGATGGAGGGGAGGAGGGGGAGGAGGAGGCTGGAGGGGATGGAGGGGAGGAGGAAGGTGGAGGCAGTGGAGTTTTGGGCCCCCGGTTTTTTTAACCCTTGTTTTTGGGGTGGGGGACCGGGAAACCGGGTTTCCTTTTTTTGGGCCGGGTTTGTGGGTAAAAGGTTGGTTTCCGAGTGGAATGGATTTGCGGGGGAAACCCAAAACGGGGTTTTGAATGATCCCCCGGGGCCATTCCCGCCGGCACCAAAAACCAAAAGTCCCCAGGCCTTTTTCCAAAGTTTGGGATTCCCTGGCCCGGGCCGGGAAAATTTTTTGTTTTTATTTGTCTAAAACAAAGGGAGTTACATAGGGAGGGAAAGAAACCCTGGGCCAGGAGAAAAGGGGCCCAGGGGGAGGGAAAGAAAACTGGAAAAACATTTAAGGAGAAGGGGAACTGCTTTTGGAGGGGGGGGGTGGGGCTTTGGGGAGGGTTTAATTTTGAAATTTTACATTGAAAAACTACAGGGGGTGGGGAAGGAACCCGGAGCCATGGAAATTTTTGAACTTTTTGGAATTTGGGTTGAAGCGGTAAAAAAGGAGGCTGGGGGAAGGGGGAGGAGGGAGGTGGGGGCAGGGAGGAGGGGAGGGGTGGAGGAGGGGGGAGGAGGAGGAGGGGGGGCTGGGGGGGAGGGGGGGGAGTTGGGGGCAGTGGAGGAGGGGGAGGGGGCTGGAGCATGGGGAGGGGGGTTGGGGGCAGTGGGGAGAGGCTGGGGGCATGGGGGGAGGAGGTGGAGCATGGAGTGGAGGAGGAGGAGGGCTGGGGCAGTGGAGGAGAGGTTGGGGGCAGTGGAGAGGGGTTGGGGGCATGGAGGGGGGTTTGGGGAGGAGGGAGGGGAGGTTGGAGCATGAGGAGGGGTTGGAGGCAGTGGAGGGGGGAGGAGGGGGTGGCTGGAGGCAGGGGAGGGGAGGAGGAGGAGGCTGGAGGGGGGAGGAGGGGTTGGAGGCAGGGGAAAGGAGGAAGGGGGGGCTGAGGGGGGGGGCAGTGGGGGAGAGGCGGGAGGCAGTGGAGGAGAGGCGGGGGCAGTGAGGGGAGGGGAGGGGGGTGGAGGAGGGGGGGGTTTGGAGCAGTGAGGAGGAGGTTGGGGGCATGAGGGGGAGGTGGGGGCAGTGGAGGGGGGGTTGGAGGCAGGGGAGGAGGGGGTTGGGAGCAGGGGGAGGAAGGGGGGGGGTGGAGGAGGAGGGGGAGGCTGGACGTGGAGGGGGGGGGAGGCAGTGGGGAGGGGGGGCTGGAGGCAGTGGGGGAGGAGGTGGAGCGTGGAGGGGGAGGCGGGAGCAGTGGAGGGAGGGAGGCATGGGGAGGGGGCTGGAGACGTGGGGGAGGAGGTTGGGGGCAGGGGAGGAGAGGCGGAGACGTGGAGGAGGGGGTGGGGGCGTGGAGGAGGGCTGGAGACAGTGGGGAGGAGGTTGGAAGTGGGGGAGGGAGGCAGAGGGGAGTGGGGGGAGGAGGGGGGGCGGGAGGCAGTGGGGGGGAGTTGGAGGCAGGGGAGGAGGGGGCTGGAGCAGTGGAGGAGGCGGGGGGCAGTGGAGGAGGGGGGGGCTGGAGGAGGAGGGGAGGGGGGGGGAAGCTGGAGCAGTGGGGAGGAGGTTGGAGGCAGTGGGGGGGCTGGGGGCAGTGAGGAGGGGGCTGGAGGCAGTGGAGGAGGGGGGGGTGGGGGGAAGGGGGGTGGAGGGGGAAGGGCGGGGCAGTGAGGGAGGCTGGGGCAG